ATCAGTGGTGCCTTCTAAAATAATGAAACAACAGTCTTACCTTCGGGAAAGGACTATAAACTCCTTAAAAGAACCGTCAAGTCACACTCTATTAGGTGGTTCTTGAGAACCAAGGAACCACCGGTGACACCGTATTGTCTATGTTTTTTGCCTTTTTCTTTTTATTTGTTACTTCGGTCCATTCGTTCCTATTATTTTCTTCGATATCAATTGTCAATTCTTCAAAGTCAATTTGTTTTCCTTTACCTTTATCATTGTCATTGTTAATTATTACTTCGGGTTGCTCTATCGTGACCATAACTTCTATATCTTTGATATCACTGTTGTTTTTAATGTTACTTTTTATGTTTGTTGGTTCTTTTGAAATAAAAGATGCCGCTGTTTTGTCCACTTTTTTAATGGGATTGTTTCTTTAGTTTTTTAATTGTGTTTGTATGTTTGATTGTGAAGCCAACTGGATTCTTGTTGATCTCCTTAGAGGGCCACTAGTTGAGCTATCGCTCATTGTGCCAGGTTTCTGAACTTTTAATTAAAACAAAATAATAATAAAACAATTTTAATATGATATTACTGCGTATTTTGTATTACAAAATAATTCAGGAAAGAGTTTTTTTTTTTTTTTACAAGAGTTATTTTACATATACAATAACCTTAATAAAAACAACATAAAAAACTACATAGCATACACTGACGGATCGATGAAAAAAACTTATAACAGCAAAACATTAACAAAACAACAAACAAAATTGGGATATGGAATAGTCCTAATAAATCAAGATACCAAAGAAATCATTAAAGAATTAAATGGAAAAACAATAGGTCCGCCATTATCAACAAGGGCAGAACTAGTAGCAATAGCATTAACTATAACAATAATACCAAATAACTCAAACATAGAAATCTTCACAGATTCAAAAAGTTCAATAGATGCAATAATTAACTTTGTCCATTCCAAACAAAGAAAATGCAGAAAACTATACAAAAATCCAAACCTTATACTAATAATAAAAGAAACAATAATAGAGAAAAATATAAACCTAAAACTAACCAAAATTAAAGTACATATAGGTATACCATTAAATGATAAAGCAGATGAACTAGCTCAAAAAGGAACAACAAGTAAAACAATAGTAGATCTTAACTATGAACATCCGTTCGTAGAAAACTATCAACTAAAAAATGAAAACAAATTCTTAAATCATCCAATACAAGAATTAACCAAAAACATAAGTAACATCCAAAATCTAATCAATTGGAAAACACAACTTAGATTTATTCAGTTCTTCAGTAGAAATATAGAAAAAACAGTAGATTGAAATGCAACGAAAGAAACCTTAATCTACTCAAAACTAACAAATAGAGAAATATCAAACACAGACCAAAATCTAAGAACATTCAGAATTAAAATAATATGTGATGAATTACCAACATACTCAAGATTAAATAACCTCAAAGAAAAAATATACCAAAGCCCTAACTGTCCAAGATATAAAATACAAAAAGAATTAATACTTCACATCTTTACATATTAAGCTAATAAAGAAAACTTCAAACAAATATAGATTAATATAATTAAAAACTACCTTAAGGAACTAAATATCAATCATGACAAAATTAAAAATTTCATAAAGAAAAAAATAATAAAGAACAAATTATATTCTTTTGATCTGAATAAAATAAATACATGGAAAATGACAAAAGATTCAAAGTTCAGCCTAAGCAATATAATAAGAGGACTTATATCAAAATAACACTGGTCAAAAATTGATAAAACATACACATATCGGGTACTCGATATGTGTATGTTTTATCAATTTTCGACCAGTATATCGGGTACCCGATATGTATATGTTTTATCAATTTTCGACCAGTATATCAGGTATCTGATATGTGTATGTTTTATCAATTTTTGACTAGTGTAAATAAAATTATGATAAAAATCTGTGAGTCCTATACCTGCCACCCAAATTCAAAATCCAAATACTGAAATCCCAAATCCCAAATCCCAA